CAAATATTTTCTTTCCTTGATAGTGAGAAGGGTTCCCTGGTTAATGGGGCAATTGAGGGTAAACTACTACTACTACAAGAGGCTAAAACAAAACAAAAAAGATCCTTTAAGAGCCCAAGTTTTTAACGTTTTCAAGCCCAAAAAAATCTGACCATAAACAAAACAAACAATCCACTAAAGGAAGTAATTTATCCATTGAAGAATTTCACACGAAATGCAAAACCTCCAGGACTGAACAATTCTCAGAATGCGTTAAGAAAAGCAAAGACTGTTTTATTAGGAGTGTGTAGTGCGTCTCACTCACTCACTCCTCTTCCTCGGCCTCTTCAAGCCAATTCACAAACGGCTCCAATCCCTTCACAAACGTTTGCCTGAAAAACCAACACACCATTGTTACAAGTTATTTACAAAGAGCAAGGAGGTGAGTCCTATTTATAGAGAAGAACCTTCTTTTCTCCGGAAAATCATCCAGAAATAGTTACCTGCCCTTAGGGTTGCTCCCTTTGCGATACCAGTGGAGAATCGTGTCTTCAGCAAGCACATCAAGTTCATACAAAGACCTCACTACCTCTGGAAACACTTTCATCAGCTTTGCATCTTCATAGCATTGCATCTGTACTTTGTACATTAGTTCCATCTCCATTTTCCCGCTGCTACAGAACGTGTTCAGAAGCGGAGCCCATGTTTTCACCTACCACASCAACAACAACAAGCAGTGGCTAGCTTATTAGCTTTGACAGACCAAACAARCTAATCTTGCTTGATACTTCCGACAGCTCTAAAGACCAAAAACCAAAACAATAAAACTCACTTGGCGTAATACAGCATTCGCGTTTTGCTGCTGGTTTTTCCCAGACCATTGAACAGCATCCATTATCCCATCCCAGATCACACGCACAACCTCAATCTCRGGCAGCTTAGCATCTTTCACCTGTTGCTTCACCGTTTCAATCACTTCATCTACGTTAATTTCCTCAGTTACTTGGCTTGTAAGCACCGCTTTTATTTCCTTCAGCTTCACCTCAAATATTTTCTTTTCATTGTACTCTACCAGAGCTGATAATCCCGCCTTGCTTCAAATCACAAGAAAATAAATATCAATTATACATATTGAAGTGTTTTTTTTTCCAAGTAGAGAAGACTACATGCTCAGATTCTATAGGTAAGAGATAACAGAAAACACTTAGTTAACAGCGCAGGGTTGTTGATAGGACCTAGGAATTGTAGAGCTCAACAAACTACCGACAAAAAGTTAACCTATTTCTAAGCGTTTTCACTAACTGAATCTCACCAATTGCATACATATCAATGTTAAATGACTAAAACTTAGCTAAATGCAGGGAATCAGAAAAGCAAGGAAGCTGTACAAGTGACTAACGAAGCAACATAATAATACTGAACACAGCAAAGTTCAAGCAAGAGAAACTCACGTGAAATGCTCAGCAAAACTTTCAGTAGTCCGCTTTGTGGGAGGCAGGAAATCCAAAAGTTTGTCTTCCATCTTGCCACGCCTCAGAATGGCAATCAAGTCATCAAGGCTGTTCTCAACCAAATATTCATTAAAGAAGTCTGTTACAAAAGAGAGCACTATCCCTTTGGCAACAAGATTATCCTTAAGCAATGGCTGGAAGACAGTCTCTACAGGTAATCCTGAGAGCTTCTGGGAAAATGCGAGCGCTGTGAATATTGCAAGCTTCTTCCTCTCATTTTCCTCAAAAAGCTCCAGTGACTGCAAGAATCTCCGCGTAACATTTTCAAGGTTCTTTATAAGGAAGGGTCTCCTCCGCAAAATCTTCTGAATGTATACAACTGATGGCAAAATAGCTTCACGCTTTGGTTCACAGTCGATTATAGAGTAAGGATGGCGTTCCCCTTCATCAGATTTAACTGAACCAGTTTGTGTACGTCCTCCAATGAAAACAACCTTAAATGACGACAGAGATCCATCAATTAGTAACCTTGGGAGAGACAAGCAAAACAAAATATCACTTGATACAAGAAAACAACAACTAGTATACTATTATTACAAGACCATGAGGAACATAAACAGATCTCCTATTACCTCAAAGAAAATGTCACCGTATCTTGAGAAATTAAGGTCTGATGACTCAATACTTTTGGCAACAAGTTCCTATAAGACAAGCAAAAACAAAGTTATAAGTTAAAGGGCAGGATATTAACAAGCAAGCGATTAAGAGAGAAAAACAAACACTGAAACACACAAAAAAGTACCAGATCACCAGCATTATCCAGATAAATCAGGACAACTGCATCAGAAAAAGCTGCAGGGTCGAGAGGAGCAGCAATATTCCTTTTGCGGGTCTTAATCCGCGTACCTCTGCACATAAAGGCAAGCACTTTCTAAGTCAAAGACGCAAAGTTAGTTACAGTCACTCTAAACTTAATGGTCACTATAAGTTTCTCCAACACTAAATTAAAAGGTTGCACATTTCATCTCAAAGAGTCAGGGGCCAGGAAAGTTATATATATATTGATATCACTTACCCGAGAGTGGGTTTCTCCTTCGAGCTGCAAGCAAAGAGCATAGAATAGATTAGTAAGTTGCAGAGGTTAACCTAACAGAGGAATTGGCTAAAGAAGATTCAAAAAACAATATGGAAAAAGATTTTCTGTTTATAAGAAGAAACCCTAGCAGCCGAAACTAATCTCTTCCAGGGAACCGAAATTCCAAGAGCCCTAAATAACAGATACCTCCAAATTCAATTAAGAACAGCGAATTTCAGATCTCAAACGCGAAATCGAAGACAGAAGAGAGATCTAATGCGACATAATTGACATTTTCACAAGAAACAAAGTTGGGGAAAGCAGATTCGTCATCATCAGAGCCTAACAAAAGAAGGTGAAACTTACCTCATAAACCAAGACGTAGAAGAAGATCAAAGTAGAGACGAAACCTCGCGAGATCAGACAACTCTTAGAAGCGATAAAAGTACGATTT